TGTACAGTGCAAGGACAGCTGCAAGTTAATTAGGATTGTCCGGATTAATGAGTCACCCTGTTGCTGCAGGTACACAGCAAGGGAGGTTATAACTCCATATGTCGTTCATCATTGATCTCCGGCGCAGTCGGTGGAGGCAGTGTAGGGTACCTAGTATTCTCACATCTTCGTTCCATAGCCGGATATTGATAAGTAAAACATAGATATTTATTGTCGGAATCAAATGAATCAAATGGTCCGATCGCTTCAAGCTATATCATATATCTTTCTGGTTGTCTGTCAAAGGAGCCTTGCTCCAAGTCATCTTACTCCTCCGTACTTCGTATTCCATATAACCTGGATCGGCCAAGTCTGGGCTACATCCCTGCTAGCTTCCCCCTTTTACCCCTATAGATGCCTAGCCTAGCCTGCCCAGTAGTTACCTAGACATCCGCGATCCGATGAGTAATCTGCACAAGTCACAGCGCCCGGGTATGAAGGGGCTGTCTATCAAACAGGAGGGAGACACGGGAATTCTCACCTCTAACTTAGCCTCGCACAATTGGCATGTCTGCTGCTATGGAAAGTATATGTCGTCTTGCGATCGCAACGCGGAAATGCACATGCATTCCGAGGGTGGAAGGTTGATAGCAGCGAAGATCAGCGTCCAAATGAATGTGGTTCAGACCACCGCAATACTCCTACAGGGATGGAATGGCCACGGTGGTGGTAATAATAATAACCATGACTGCAGAGATCCACCGATGCACGACAGACGATAGGTACTTACATTTCGGTGGTGAAACAGAATGACCAGTAACCAGCGCCAGCCACATCAGCCACTGCCGGCCCCTCTGATAGGGGTGATCGATGCCGCTGGGTTGATTCAATCAGTCCTCCACGCGCAGTACTCCGTACGACTCGGTAGGTTGAAGATAAAGAAGCCAACCTTGGAAGGTTTCGACGATGCAGTGTGTACTATATCTGTACGAACAGTCGCTCCGTGGAGCAGCGGGCTCAAAGAGATGGTGTATGGTCTTACTTGGACCGAGCCACCACCGTCTACAGGTACTGCGTAACTCCTTGCTTTGTCTGGCGTTAGATCTCCCGACGCCCGACTGTACAGCCACACGTACAAACACAAAGAGAGGTGACAGCGTAACACGATGCGACGCCTGCGCTTTCGCCCGTAAGGCCGGGCGTTGGATATTCCAGACGCAGCTGGGTGCATGGCGACACCAACGGTTCAGCGCATATGCCGTAAGTCGGTTGATAGCCAGTGCTAGTGCTAGTGGAATTCTTTATCATAAACCTACTGCGTATGTATGTATTGTATGTAGTGGCGTGGCGACAGCAATCCGTTGGTGATTAATAGCTTATGGAAGTGGTTGACGAGGCCGCCCATGCAGCTAAGACCCGAGTCAGTGGGCGTGGAGCATGGAAATGGATAGATCACGATGCTGATGTCCCGAAACAGACCCTGAATTAGCCGTGGATGGGGGGTGGTTGCGGGGCAGGACCGGACCATGATAATAATAATAATCGAGACATCAAGCCCCCAGACGGCTGGTTTTGGGAAGGCTGTTGGCATCCGAGACTATTACGTCGACGGTGGTAAGGAGTGGATAGATAACTAGCCCATAGTCTGTAGTCCACTGAACCGTGTATAGTGTCTACGAACGCGTCCAGGACGGATCTACGCGACCGAGGAAGGCTACGGATGCGCGGTACCATGGATGGCATTATTATTAGGATAGGAGGCGTGTCAATAGTGCAGCCCGGATCCCTGCCGCGTTGGGGACAAAGGAGGCCGACTGGTCGAGGGATGATGTAGGTCAGCCGCGGGTGCGAAAGGGCGGGGGAGATGGGCTACTCCGTCTGATCGACTGGCAGAGGACACGCGACGAGGCCGACGGAGGTTAGAGCTCGGCTGGGTTGGGGCCAGTAGTAGGGAGGAGGGAGTAGGAAGTAGGAATATGGGACGCGACCGATGTACTCCGTATGTAGGTATGTATGTATGTAATATAGTGTAGTGTACCTCATGAATGACAGTCAGCAGCTGAAAACCAGGCCAGTCGGTCGGCTACTCCGCAGGTGGATATGGGAAGGATACAGCTAGACCAGGGTCAGCCTGTTGTGCTAATAACGGATGCACTGAGGTCGGAAGATATGGAAGATACTAAAATAATACATAGGTTATGTACTAGGTAGGTAGTAGTATCTTGAGTGACAGTTCGACTCTATACTCGTAGAGTAGATGATAGATATGCAGAGGAGTCTTCCAAGTAACTATACTGGTATGAATCTTCTTCTCGCTTCCATCTCCTGTTCTGGGGCCTGAATCAGGGAGGCAAATGGCTGGTGAAGACTGGCTGGCATCGACGGAGATCACCCCACTGCAACCCACCGAAGGAGCGCTGGTGCTGGACGCCTGCAGGAGACTTTGGTAAGAAACCTAAGAAAGGAGCGATTGATAAAATAGGTATGAGATAGAGCATAAAGAACCACTGTAGTTAGTACTACCTACCTAGGATGTATACTCATGACATAAATGAACAATGGGTCCGTTAGACTCCTACCTTTAGTTGGAATTAGTTGTACCACGGCCAAAGGACGGCTATCTGGGCTGGTAGGGCAGCCAGTATTGACTTTGGCCGGTTACAGTAAGGGCCTCCAGCTCCCCCCGAGGCTCAGGCCGCCCCCGGCGGATTATTGGCGTACGCTGGTCTCTCCTGCGAGTCTGGAAAGGAGGCCGTAAGTAATCATCTTACTCCATGCTTAGGATCAATGATTCAGTGCTCTCTCGTACCACTGAACACACTGGCGTAGAAGACAAAAGTCCACGGCAGTCGCCAACTTTCCGTGTGAACCAGTAAATGGGCCCGACATTCGCCGTCGTTCTGACGATCCATCCAGGAGTCGGCAGCATCGCGTAGCTGTCTTTTTGAAACCACTGTGAGAGAGTAGAGACTGTAATCTGGATAAACAAGACAATTAATTGTCTTTTCTACCTACACGCCTAGATGTAGTCGGTGTACTCTAGGGGAAGACAGAGTACCAGGTACGAAGTAAGGTACCTCACCTCCGTCCATTTTCCATTTCACGTACCTAATACGATACGGGCAATTACCACTCGTACCCGTACCTAACCCGTTACCTAACAATACCCTCACCTCGCCCTCTCTCGACTTCTATCGCTCTCATCCGATTTCTTCTTTTTTTCCCTTTTCTTCTTGCTACACCCGTCTGGAGAGAGAGAGTTCCTCCTCCTCACTTTCTCCTCCTCCTTTCTCTTCTTTTTATCTTCACCTCTCCTCCCTTTCCTCCCTCCTCTCATCCCTCACCTCCTCTCCTCCCTTCTCTCTTCCCTCCTCCCGCCAATCCTCTTGGAGAGATCTGAGACTGGTCCACTCTGGCTTCGAAGTCTGTCGACCCGATCCTCTATATCTGTCGACTGCCTCGTCCGCCCGCGGTTGC